AATGGTTTAAAGAAATTTATTAAATTTTCAAATACTTCATGCATCTTAACAATAATAACAAGAATAATATTGGAATAAAATTTAGTATCACTATTCTCAACGATAGATTAACTTTTATGATAACACACTTAGATTAAGCAATGCATACATCCTTACATTATAATGATTCTATTACTAGCCATATAAGTAAAAGTATATAGATACATATACATACATTGATAAAGATTGATTTATACCCAAGAGATAATCGAGGACTATAATTTGATACAAAGTACGTCAATTGAATGTAACAAAACTTAATTAGAGGAAAACAACTGATAACTAGAGAAAACAGCATAGCTTGAATCTATATATATAGGAGAGAGAGATTAGAGTTTGGCACATACAAAATTGTTAAACATATACAAATACATAAATACATAAAATATTATTACATCCCCTTTCATTATTCTACCATAATTAGATTGCTTATTATTTTTACTGTCATTATTATCCGTATTAATGTTGTATAATGTTAAGGTGAAAAATAAACTGATTTATTTTAGAAATAATTCACCAATAAAGTAAATCATTATCATAGTTTACTTTTTTTTAATCATTTACATTCGATTATTCTTATTCTTTGTATTCTAAGAAAAGTTCCCCTATTTATGTTAGAAGTGTTTCAACAAAATTCGATTATTTGATTGAATAAAAAGTAAATAAAAGAGGTAAATTTGGAACGAATGAATAAAAGAAAGAGAAAAAGACAAACGAAAATGATTCTATACAGATACATACTTACAATCAATTGTCCATCTACATATATGATAATGTGTGTCTGTTTATGAAAAGAGAAATCTAACGAAAATTTAATTAGTTTGAATTGATCCTAAATAGGTATTTAATTGCAGTTTTTGAATCCTAATTTTCACCTTAAATATATATATATATATATATATATATATATATATATATATATATATATATATATATATATATACTTACATCTACAAGATAAATGAGTTGAGTTCTCTAGTCTTTCTACTTATTCCTTTCTCTTTAAAGTAACTCTTAAGTGTTGAAAAACTTTCACAATGAAATGGGTTACTTAAAACAAAAATAAAATAAAATAGTAGTTAGGAAACGAAGCAAATGTTTAATTAACTGTCAGAAACTGACCTTCAAAAATAATAATCTATAAAACATCTCATCAATTGAAGAATATTTCTTAGACAGAAACAGAATTAAATGATTGAATTGGAAAAAATATTAGCAACTTCAATATAATTCATGTCAGATCTTTAAATGAAGAAATAACCAGGTTATCTGATTTTCGATTGTTCTACAGTTCACTGATTTTGTTCAAGAAAACTCTTTCCACACTAATATTCTCTAAAGAACTATTAGTTTAAATTATTTTTTATGTTAAACGAATCTGAATTATAACCAATATAACTTTTCTATTTGAATACCACTGCTGAGGAGTCCCATACTAGGACGAAACGGCCGTCTAGTGCTTCCAGGTTTTTCATGGTGGTCTAGCTTAAATTGACTCATGATTTCAATCTGTGAAATTTCTAAAATCTCCACAAACCCCTTCTGATAAAAATGAAGAATCTATAGAAGAAATGGTATTGCAAAAATTGCATAATTTGTTCATGAAAATATTTGTCATGTGAACATTTTTCAGGTAAGTCAAAATATAATTGAGGGACCCCCACAATAATGTGTGATATTAGGTAATGAAGTCAAAATTTTGATCTGAGCTATAATTTAAATGGATGAAGTCAGTAAGATGCTTGTAGTCAGTGGTTTCATTCCTTAGTTAATATAGCTTTTTCTTAATCCTAAGCAATAAGATTATTTTATATCTATTATCTCTTGATTTTATTGCCTATTCTTCAACCATTTTTTGGTTTTCTGACCATCATAGACAGTATTCTGATATTTTTTACATATCCATAGAATCGATCTCAATAATAGGCCTTTTACTACTTATCATCATATTTAGAATTTACCATCTCCTTTTTTAAGTGTCTTGATATTGCACAACTTAAACAGTGAATTTAACCAATAATTTGAAATAATCTCACTGATTGAAATTTAAATAATTCCAACGTTTCATTGGGCAAACTTGTCTGAACTTCTTCAGGGTAATAATCAAAACTACAAAAGAACATATAATGTTTAGCAGTCGAATCAAATCTGTACTAAGTGACTATCTAATCACGTTCAGATGTTGACTTCAATAAGTTGGATGAGTCAAATAGATGTGAAAAGTTCACAACATGAACATAAATGAATGAGTAATTGTTTGCGTATGTTTGTGTAAGTTCAAGTGTTAATTTGTTTATTAGAAGTAAAAATAAGAGTTTCAAGGGGATATGTTCTTAACACATCAATGTATATGCAAAGTGAGAAACGCTAGTTTTTGTTAAGCGGACTCTATCACTTTGATTAGCTTAATACTATCTGATATATTGCTAACATTTTCATATATTTCTTCCAAACCATTTCGTAAAATATTATATGAAATGTCAGGATTATTTAACCTTTAGTCGCTGAGATTATTTTAAATATAACTCTCACAAGTCATTTCCTCTCTACTCGGCGCCCGATTTCTATCAAACTATTCATTCAAATATAGATGAATATTCTTATAAACTAACCAGTAATATTTATCTAGTTTAGGTTTGTATAATGTATAATGGCATACTTTTTGTAACATTTCGATAGTCTACATAGACAGTTCTACGATAAGATTTTAGGGTATGCTTATGTTAATAATGACTCCTGTATCTATCTTGCAAATGCCAAATTATGATGAAATTAGTATTGTGGTGTGTGCTACTTATATTAACATAAGTAGTATATGACGTTCCGAATACAATGGACAGCTCAGGATCAATTAGACGATTTGGACTTTGCAGATGACCTAGCCTTCCTATCGCATACACATGAACAAATGCAGATAAAGACAGCCAATGTAGCAGCAGTCTCTGCATCAGTAGGCCTCAACATACACAAGGGGAAAACCAAGGTCCTCAAATTCAAAACGGAGAACAGCAATCCAATCACTCCTGATGGTGAAACTCTGGAAGATGTAGAATCCTTCACATACCTGGTAAGTATCATCGATGAACAAGGAGGTTCAGATGCAGACGTAAAGGCGAGGATTGGCAAGGCAAGGACGGCATTCCTACAATTGAAGAACATATGGAACTCAAAACAACTTTCAACCAATATCGAAGTCAGAATCTTCAATACGAATGTCAAGGCAGTTCTATTGTACGGAGCTGAAACTTGGAGAACTACTGCAACCATCATCAAGAAGGTACAAGTATTTATAAATAGCTGTCTACGCAAGATACTCAACATCCATTGGCCGGATACCATCAGCAACAGTCTTTTGTGGGAGAGAACAAAGCAGATTCCAGCTAAAGAAGAAATTAGGAAAAGACGATGGAAATGGATAGGATATACATTGAGGAAGTCACCAAACTGCATCACGAGACAATTCACAACTTGGAATCCTGAAGAGAAGAGGAAAAGAGGAAGACCAAAGAACACATTACGTCAGGAAATAGAAGCAGATATGAAAAGGATCAATAGAAACTGGAAGGAGCTGGAAAGGATTGCCTAGGACGGGGTTGGATGGCGAATGCTAGTGAGCGGCCTATGTTCCTTCACGAGGAGTAACAGGCGTAAGTAAGTACGTATATGACGTTAGTCGTGAACAGAAGGTCTGGCAGCAGAGAGGCAAGAGGTTCGAACAGTAAAGAATAGAAACAAGATGTAATTTGTATGAAAATGCAAGAGCAGTGAAGTCTGAGTCATTTTGAGACAATTGGTGGACATTTTGCAAATTAAGCATTTATTTTGTGATTGTTAGATTTTATTAACAAGTCCTGTAATTTTGTATTAAATATATCGGATTGTCTCCACTCGTGTTCTTGTTCACTACAGTATAAATAAAAGACTTGAAGATAAATCTTTTCATGCAAGGAAAATGGATCAACTTTTAGCGAGTCATATAGTCATGCTTAGAAACCTGACTGGCATTTTTATTATTCTGCTATAACATCATTAAATTTTATTAATCACTATAAATCATTCTACACTTCTTACTACATTTTGCCTGGGCTCGTATTAAATAAACCCTACTCATGTCCACCTGTACATCTTGATATAGGGTTTAGTGCAATACCTATATTTAATGATAAATATAATAGCAAGTTAAGACTGCTCAAATAACATTGTGTAAATCTCATTAAGACTACCTGTTCTTAGTAATTTACTGATACTTCTAAAGCATTAGCCACAAATAAAATAAGACGTAATAACTAAACAGTAGAAAAAATTTCATTATGAAGCAAAATTAGAATAACTTTAGCTTTTCTAATAGATGTTTATGATTGTTCCAACTATTAGAATTGTATTTAATCTACGAAGAATATTTATGCCATCAATCCAATCTAGTGCATTTAATTCATAGGCAGTTTAACCAAAACAATCATAATGTCTTATCATTAACTTTTATAAAAAAAACAAAGGAAATATAATTTAAACCTTCTTTCCATATCATTTTTTAATGATAAAGAACAAACATAAACAGTTTATGTAGCCTAGTCTTGATTATTGATCGAACTCCAATGATCGATTCTACGTTCATCTAAATTCGTGACATGACAATAGTAACTGTTTGAAGTAATCGATAAAGTACTTTAAAGAGGACATTTACAGTCTCTTATTACAACATATGATGACACTACTTTACGTTCCTGAGACTCAAACTGTTTCCTGAAGATTACAAAAATATCTTGTAGTTGAGTATAGATCAATAAAAAACCTAGGTCTAAGTATTTCTACTGATTACTCTCAACTATCTGACAACAAATAACTAATGAATGCTATAACAATCAGTAGTGTAAAATAAGGCCTGGCTACACAAAATGAAATGCACCCTCCATCATTATATCCTTCAAACTTTAAGAACCCGATATATAAAAAGTTCTTAATGCTACAAATATACAATAAATTATATTTACAAAAACGTCTAAAGAAATTTTAGAAAAAATCGAAAGTTATTGGATGATTCATATGAGAAATCATCATTAACGCAATCACATGTACTACAAAGACGAGGTACAACCGTTCATTGGATTATTAATAATCAAAATGGAACGACTATCTAGTTTGATCACATGCGAGTAACACCTGTTGGACCGTCAAAGGAGTTCGTTAATTCATCATCCAGTAATTTCACACCTTCCTTCAGTACTTCATGATTACAAAGAATCGACTCCAAAGGAGTTGTAAGACAAACTTCATAAGTTTCTTGAGGATGTGGCAGGGTATTACGATGCGGTGTAACCACAGGAAGCTCAGAAAGCTGAGCTGGCAGTGGGTCCGTAGTGAAATATGGATCTTTCAATGCCTGAAACATGAAAAAATAAAATTCTTCAGAACAAACAAACAAACAGGATTTTGAGCTTATAAGCAGATTTCATTGACTAATCCACAGAACATTGATATCATTAAAAGTAATATGGAAATTGAAACCTCGTTTTATGCAAAACAAAAAGATATTATTTTCGAATTCCTAGAACCTGCAAGTTACAACTTCATTTTGCGTTTCTGAGTCCCACGCAGACAACAATATGAAACATATGAGTAAGGAAAATACACGTGAATTAATATTTTGTAAAGATCACTGCTAAAAAATGACTCAAACAACTGTTTCCCTTATTCAATGTTTACACTGCTTCTAACTTTCTCATTCCACCTCTCAAACAAATGTATTTATATGTCTAACTTCAATCCATTTATGATATTACGCAACCATCTATTGCGTGGGGTAAATAATTACTTCACACCGATATGTTTCGACTTAACATTGTCATAGCTTCTCATTAGAACTCCAGAAATCGCATCTAGAAGTCAGTCACCAGTGAGCACACGATTATTATCGGTATAAGATTTCGTGAAGATTCTAGAATTTTTTATAGATTTTATATCCCGAACCGATCTTAGTTAGGCTGCCAATGAAAAATTGGAAGCACTATGTAGCTGTTCCGTCCTAGTATGATGCTCCTAAGCAGTGCGCACCCCTAACTCCACAACCGGGAAAAGGACCCAGAGCATTCACTCTTATGAGCCAACGCTCAACCTCTAGACCAGTGAGCTAGCATCCGACAGTGCTGATGCCTAACTTCAACCCATTCGAGTTTCAAATAAACGTTTGAGGGTTCGAACCCTCCTCCACATGTTTTGCTTTGAAAAGGTGAGTTGTGTCCCACACCCGCCGTCAAAATGTGTGACTTAAAGATACACGTACGGTTATTTACCCTAGTACATGCCAAAAAAGTAAAGCACGTTGGTTTACAAAAGGTAGTTATACACATTATGCAGAATCAGTTGTCACTCGTAAAGTTTTGAAAGATTTAAAATTATTTGATTCTACTACTATGAAGTACGACTGATGTAGTAAACTACATAGGGATAAGATGTAAAATGATGGATGTACTGGCGTATCAGCTGATATGCCGAAAGGGAAATAAATAATGGCATATAAAAAATATAGGTTTTGATGCACTAAACTGTGAGTTAAGCTTATTTTTCAAGATTACTGACACATCATAATTATGTTGATTCCAGTCTGTGAAGCACCTTCAAATGTGTAACTCAATAGTTCAAAGCAAAACCCTCAAACTATTCAGAGACAGCACCACAGCATGTTTAAACCAGAGTTACCTGATTTACCAAATCGGGTAAACCAGAATTAAAATAATACTTACTTCGGATACAGTAATTCTTTGATGGGGTGGGTACACTAAAAATTTACTAACAAGAGCAACGGCTTCAACTGATGCATCCGGAAGAACTTCCTCAAACGGATGGTTTCACACAGGTTAAAACTTATCTTGTTATAATCAGGCAGTTCTTTAACTTCCTAGAAAAATAAAAGAACAAAATTACTACCAAAACAAAAGAAAAAAACTTGATGTATTGGAAAACTAAGAGCAAATTAACCAAACATTGTTGTCACGTACGGTGAAATAAATGCCTACCACAGAAACTTAGTAAATAAAGAGTAATCGTTTATTGAATGAAGCGCATATGGATATACTACCCATGTAAATAATATGAAATTGAGTGAAAAAAACCGCTTTTGACATCACTCTTCCTACAACCTGTGTTCCCATTCATTGGAGTATAGTATTCAGTAACTGAGTTTTTTATTATTATCAATAACTTACCATCAGGTTTCACAATTATAAATCCAAATTAATACTCTATAAAATTGGCCAGATTTAAGACAGAGTACATCATTTAAGATTGTAATATGTGAATCAAGAATTGTTGTTTGTCATATCAAATCACTAATGTTGGTGTAGGCATAGCACTAAGCATGAGGGCGGAACAAGCACTGCTAGAGTGGATCCCCGTCAACAGTCGTCTATGTGCTGTTCGGCTGAACGGCTACGTAAGAACTCGGAAGGATAGGGACACACGTCGTTGCCTTTTTGTCGTTTCTGCCTACGCTCCCACTGACTGCAGCTCAGATGAAGTGAAAGATGAATTTTACAGAAAGCTGTCCGAACTTCTTCAGAAAGCTAAACGCTCAGACATAGTACTCGTAGCAGGTGATTTTAATGCTCAGATAGGCAGTTTAAACCAAACAGAAAGGCATTTAGGTGGATATTTTAGTATTCCGACACAGCGAACAGATAATGGTGATCGTCTGCTGCAGCTATGCTCAGACAATCGTTTATTTTTAGCAAACACAAATTTTAAGCATAAGGAGAGACATCGTCTAACATGGCGACCCCCTACACCAAACCAACGATGGACTCAAATAGACCATATTGCCATCAGTCATCGTTGGAGAGGGTCGGTAGAAGATTGTCGCTCATTCTGGAGTACCTGCTTGGACTCCGACCATGCCCTAATACGGGCACGCATCTGCTTGCGCCTCACTGGACGCAAAAAAGCCACATTAAAAAGACCCATTAGAACTGAGTTGAGTAACGAGAAAACCAAAAGTAGGTTCCAGGAACAACTGAGGTCACACTTAGGTAGTTGTGAAGACGAGGCTGACCCAGATGTTGCTTGGAAGGGCATACAAGCAGCTGTGGAAACAGCAGTGACATCTATTAGTGACTTAAACCACAGAGTTACAAGGAACCAGTGGATTTCTTCAAGGTCTGTCACACTGATGGATTCTCGCAAACTCGTCCCATCAGGTTCTGAACATGATGAAGAGCGTAAACAAATCAGATCTAGGTTAAGAAAAAGTCTAAGGAACGACCGTGAGCAGTGGTGGGTAACGAAAGCAAAAGAGATGGAAAAGGCGGCGACTATAGGGAACACAAGACAGCTTTACAGACTAATAAAAGAAACTGGAATTAATAAGTCAAGTGTAAGTGAGATTATTTCGGAAAAAGGATACTCTCATCTGCTCCCAGTCCAGACGTTTAGAACGATGGGCGGAACATTTTAGAGAACAGTTCAGCTGGCCTTCAGCTACTCTACAACTACCCTCCATTCCCAGACAGTGTGAATGGAACATTGAAGTAGGTCCCCCAACTCTTGCTGAAGTTGAAAAGGCTATAGTTAATCTGAAACGAGGAAGGGCAGCTGGTCCAGATGGACTGGCTCCAGAAGTCTTTAAGGATGGTGGTCCAATTTTAGCGATTAGGTTGACTAATATTTTAGCTAAGATCTGGGAGTTAGACGTTATCCCATCTGACTGGTCGCAATCACTTATCGTCCCAATATATAAGAAAGGGTCAAAATCATCCTGTGACAACCACAGAGGGATTAGTTTAACAAATATAGTATCTAAAATACTGGCCTCGATAATTATCAACGCCTAACTAAGACTCGTGAACTACAAACACGAGAGAACCAAGCTGGCTTTAGACCTGGTCGTGGCTGCATCGACCACATATTCACCATTCGTCAGGTTCTAGAACACAGGCATACTATCGGCGTCCGACGATGGTGGTCTTTCTTGACTTAAAAGCAGCATTTGACTCTGTAGACCGCGAGACTCTGTGGCAGTGTCTGTCATTGAAAGGCGTACCTCAGAAGTACATAAACCTTGTGAAGGCTCTTTACTCGAACACTACTAGTCGAGTCAGGGCTTATGGCGAACTGTCATCTACTTTTGCAACCTCAAGTGGTGTCCGTCAAGGCTGCCCACTTTCTCCATTTTTGTTTAACTTCATCATAGACCTATTGATGGAAATAACACTCTCGTCGACTGAATTCTCGGGTATTGATCTCCTTCCAGGAGGTCCACTTATCGACTTAGAATATGCAGATGACATAGTCCTGTTTGGTGAAGACGCTGACAAAATGCAGAGTCTTCTGGTAGCACTAAGCAACAATGCCAGAATGTTTGGGATGCGCTTCTCTCCCTCTAAATGCAAGTTGTTGCTTCAGGACTGGTCTGCGTCAACACCTGAACTAAGGATAGGGAGTGAAGTAGTCGAACGCGTTGACAACTTCACTTATCTTGGAAGTCTGATCAGCCCTAATGGGTTGGTGTCTGACGAAATCTCAGCACGGATTCGTAAAGCTCGTTTGGCTTTTGCCAACTTACGTCACCTTTGGCGGAGGCGAGATATCCGTCTATCAATAAAAGGACGAGTATACTGCGCGGCAGTCCGTTCTGTTTTAATTTACGGCAGCGAAACATGGCCTTAAGAGTAGAAGACACCCGTAAGCTACTAGTATTTGACCACAGATGCCTTAGAAATATTGCTGGCATCTGCTGGGATCACCGGGTAAGTAATAGTGAGGTTAGACGCAGGGTATTAGGGAATGATGGTAAATCAGTTGATGAGGTTATGAATCTTCATCGACTGAGATGGTTGGGCCACGTATTACGTATGCCTGAACACCGATTACCGCGACGTGCAATGCTAACCGGTGTAGGGGATGGTTGGAAGAAAGTTAGGGGCGGCCAAACCAAAACGTGGCATCAGTGCTTGAAGTCACTAACTTCTAGTCTGAGCCATGTTGGTAGATGCAGACTACTTGGTTGGGGTCCGCGTGACTTTCGTAACCAATGGTTGGAGACTCTTGGTGACATGGCTCAGAATCGATCACAATGGCGTCGGTGTATACACTCTCTGTCTTCCCTAAACTAAGAGATTAAAATCACTTCATATCTTTCTTTCTACGAACTAATTCTTTCTTCTTATACTATATCCTTATTGCAATCTTTCTCTTATATATTACCACCTTTGACCTAACCACTCCTATGAATCCGGTGTTCATCTTGCTGTGCTAATGAGGTATGGCAACCTGGGCCGATGCATACATGTGCCTGGTCCTACGTTGTAGCTGACTGACTGACTGACATGTTGGTGCTGACAATATGAAGTGTTAACTTAAATCATTTCACTTATAAACGGATTTAAGTTAACACTTCATATTGTCAACACTAACATTAATGATTTAATTTGATATGACAAACAACAATTCTTGATTCACATATTACAATCTTAAATGATGTACTCTGTCTTAAATCTGGCCAATTTTATGGATTATTAATTTGGATTTATAATTGTAAAACCTGATGAGAAATTATTGAAAAGAATATTCTTCGTTCATATAACTGTGTTTTTTATTATCATAGAGGAATGCAAGGAGCATTTGAATTGAGTTTCTGACCAACATTTATAACATTAGAATGTTGAACACATCAACTGAAAGGACAGTTTTGTTTGTTGTTTAATGGCTTCCATGTTAATCGATATACCTCCCTCTTCTTCAAATCCAGATATATCCAACTTCTATTTTGAAAACACGACCTTAGAAAGAGATGATTCAATTTGTGCGAGCATACACATCTAAACGTGATTATCCTATGAATGCAATCAAATATGATTTAAGACGGCTTTTATCAGAAACTAAGACCATAAAAGTTACAGTGCACTACCTTAATGTTTTACTGCAGTTTAAAAAGTCACAGCAACTTATACTTCTTAAAGATTTCAGGAGAGAATTTATACCCTCAGAGCTTCAATGAAAGCATCTTCATATTACACAGTCATTTCGTCAATTTAAGCAAAATTTCTTTGAATGTAATCTGTTCTAAATCATAAGAGTATTTCAGTTAGTGACTTTTTAAGAACGGATAAATGGGTCGATTTTATGATAATCATATTTCATGATATAACCAACAATCAGTACTGAATAGATAACATTTCAAAGAGTTTAACGCAATAATTTCAAAAACCTTACGGGCCATATATCTTCGTTCGGAGTCCCAAGAACACGTACAACAAACCAAAGTTGTTCAATATCATTTTCTCCCTAAACAAGTCTTAGTAATATAAATTATTAAATACCGGGAACATTGGAGAACTATTAAGTAATTCGCCAAATATACAACCGATAGCCCTAAAACTAAATAAATTATAATTGACATACCATAAATCAACACTATTTGTGTATTTTTTAGCTCCGTATAATAATTCAGGTGCTCGATACCACCTGAATTAATAGATAACTTGCATTAGCAAAAATTACCTTGTAGCCACTTGATGACTGTATAGTCGCTCATTATTATTCTCGAAAACTCTTGCAAGACCGAAGTCAGCTATTTTCAGGACCCCCTCCGAACTAATCAATAGATTGGCAGGCTTAAGGTCCTAAATAAAGAAGTGAAGATTAGAAGATTTCATAAAAACAGACACACACCCTGTGCATAATTCCATTAGCATGCATGACTTCAACTCCTCTTAGTATCATTAGCATATAACATTTGGACTGTTCTTCAGTAAGAGGAGGTTCCGAATTCCGAATAACCTCACTAAGATCCGTAACCATGTACTCAAAGACGAGAACAAAACCAGTACCATGAGGGAAAACTTCTCGTAGATGGACAACGTACGGGCTGGACTCAATAAACTGGAGAGCCTTTATTTCTCTACAATAATAAATATACTTTAATTGAATTACCGAAGTGCTGTGTTAGGAATTCCATCAGCAAGTTTTCTCAAAGGAACCTTTTTTAGAGCAACAAGTTCTCCACTCTAGATAAAACTGTCAAATGCAAAATGAAATCACCTCAATATGCTTAGCTTTTAAAACGACTCCATGAGCACCTTCACCAATACGACCAAGAATAGTGTACTGCTCCATATGACTCTAATGTTCGTAATATTTAATCTCCTGAACATGCCAGTATCTAGTTGAGCAAAGTTGAGCCATTTGATTTCCGCATCTCAAATGTAAGAAAGATTTTGAAGAAACCTCGGAATATTTGTTATAATGAAGATATTAAGTAAACACTAGCAAGCTACATTTCTAAATGTGAGATTTTGTGGACGCTATATTGTTACATATACTTAGCTGCTTAAATCTACGACGAGAGATTGATTTTAATAAATCATTCTTTCTAATAACCCAAGAATAAGTGAGTTTATTGAATCATTTGCGAATGCTACCAGATACGGAAGCCCTTTAAGCGAAAGTTTTTATTCCATCTAGAACCATTTGAAGAGTAGATAACATCAAAAGGGGTTTAAACAAATTAGTATCACATGTAAGAACAAATATAAGTATTATGACCAATGGAAAGTTACAGATACTTCTTAATTTGATACCAAGCAATCGTCAGTATTATATTAGTTCAACGTTGACATTCATGCTCCTGGTATATCCAATAAGTAACTCGTAACACTATTTTTCATACAAATCGACTTGAAACTAACTGATTGACAGAACTGCCTATTTCTTACAATATTTCTGGCTGATTTAGTATGTCTAAGGGATTTCCATCGCGGTTACCCAAAATTTAGCCAAACCGGACAAATTTTTCCCCAAAATAGCAAGATTAATCTCTCAATTGGATACACGAACGTGACGTCATTATTTGATAACTTCTGAACTCGTTTGGACAGAACTATTGTGGGAACCTAACTTGTCAGTATAAAATACCAAAAGTCATCCTCTGTGTTAAAATGAAACGATTAAATCAATATTTAATGTAAAGTATAATGAGCAATAGACAAAGTGAGTGAGTCCTCATACTGAAACACAAAACAGGACAGCGCAAGCAACCGCACTGATCTCTTTTTATAATTTCAGGTTTTTGACATATATGCCAATGTAAAACAAACAAATGACTGAACAGTTACAAGTTAAAAACCATAGCAACACGCGCTAGGCAGCAAATGAACATTGATTTATCACATGGTTCAAATGCCTTTAAACGGAATAGAAAAATCTTTAGCTTACCGAGCTTTCGTATATAGTAGCATTCGATCGTTTATACCGTCGGGCAGGGACCTGGGTATATTATTGATAAAACAGGAAAAGGAAATCACAGTAAGACATTATCCATAGTTTTTAAGAATATGTCATGCTTTCTCTTAAATAACTCCTGAAAAGTCGACTGGACTAGCTCAGCCGGCAGCGAATCCCAGAATTTGACTGCTTTTAAGGAGTAGAATTTATGTCTACTACCCATTCTGCTGTGTGGTGTCTCCAGTTTCTGGGTGTTACCAGCATTTTACAATAATAACTTACAGGCTCCGGCACTATGAGTATGAAGTGTCCAATCTTTTACATCTTTTACATACAATTATGATACTGTCACAACTCCAGTTAAGAAAATGACCTTCCAGAATGTTTTGAAATTGCCACAGACATTTACGGTTTTACAACGCTTAATTCCGTAGCACCTGTATAATTAAAGGATACCAACGCAGGCAAACCGAAGTCAGAAATAAGTTCAAAGATATATTTGGAAGATTGTCGATATGTTGATAGACGTTTGATCTGAGCTGGCCAGTAGTTGCAAAGGAAACGTAGCTAGGCGTGCCCACGCGTGATCTCGCTCGGAAACGTGATCTATCACTTTTACTGGACCGGTAAAATTCATGAGGTCAGCATCAACTTGAAGGACTCATATAACTCGTTATTTTGGGGATTTACTAGTTATTACGACTGATTTTCCCCCAATATATTTGGGTAGTGATGGCCTTAAGGCCTGGTCAGTAAGAAGTCTAAACCTAATGGGCTTGCTGTTGGTAAACACTTGTAGTGACTCACATTTATCACGAGAACACGACTGGTTTAATAAAAACAATTATTATTATAACCAACTGTACCAGTGTTTGTTTTAACGTGCTTTTGTTTGACTGTGCTAATGACAGCTATTTTGTGCTTCCATTCTTTTACTTACACTTTGATTGTAACTTCGCGCGAATTTGGTTACCTTCTGTAACCAAGGTTGTATCCTGGCACGATCTCGGTATCCTTTCGATGCCACGAGATCGCCAGCTAATAAACCTCGACTTGGTCCATTAATTGCCTTCTGGTATTCGGCTTCTCGGGGATTTTATGGAGTCATTTGGAACGAGCTTCTTACGCCTTCTGATCTATTTGGCACGTGTTTCTTGGTAGCGGTGTTCATAGTTAACCTCAACTCGACGCCACGCTACACACTGTTGTTGTTCCATCACCATCTGATGGTCTTCCCTTAATATGAAGAGCCATGCGTTGCCAGAGAATAATTTAAAACGTACAATTAGAACTTTGAATCATTGCCGTCACCCTGGTAAATAAAAAGAATGGAAGTTTAAGTACTTATTAAGACTCACTCATGCTACTGTAAGGATGTAAGACACGAGAAGAAAATACCTGATAAGCATGCGAACACGTACGATGTAACAAGGTGAAAAAGTTTTGCTCAGAAAGATTTCTCTTTTGAACTTAAAAATTAATATTCACACATATTCTAACATATCAGAAAAACGATTTTTATTTTGAAAAGAGGGTGTTAAAAAAATTGGGATACAATCAAATTGTTGTATAACACGAAAAAACGAGACAATAAGCTCGTCATCCTACGCTACCTTTGCAACTACTGGCCAGCTCAGATCAGACGTCTCTCAACATATCGACAATCTTCCAAATATATCTTTGAACTCATTTCTGACTTCGGTTTTGTCTGCGTTGGTATCCTTTAATTATACAGACGTTACGGACATAAGCGTCGTGAAACTTCAAATATCTATAGTATCTTTTGAGGCTTTTGAACCAAATACTTCTACTGTTCGATTTTCATTAAAGTTAGTAGTGTCCGAAACATCAGCAACAGTCTAAACATCTAGTGAATTTAAATGTTATTTTCAAGCGAAACCCCAATGCATATTCTAAATAACGATCATCATTTCTTATTCTATACAACAATAATTCCACCTGAATCAAATACATTCTTCACACAACCTAATAATGGCACTATTATTTTCATTATCTCTAACTCGATGAGTCATGACTAGCGGATGGACCAAAAACTGAAATGCCAATTTTCTTGAATGTATATTTGAGTACCTTAATTAACTAGTAATCACGTTAGTAATGCACTGATATACATTGCAAAAGCCTAATTGTCTGAAGTAAAAAACGACATATAACTCTTGAATTGTTTCAGATCGTGTTTGACATGTTTTCATGTTTTAAGAAGACTAATTGATTGCTTCATTGCTCATTATAGTTGAAGATGCCACAAGCATTTAATTCGGCAAAACTTCAACCAGTAAAACCTATAATTGAATCGTGCCCACCCAGTGAGATCAAAAGTCAGAGGTGGGGAGGTTCGAAGGTATATTTTATAGGTTATCAATATATCGATCATCGACTGATCTAAACTGGCTAGCGGTTGCATGAGAAGTTGATCACAGCGTCCCACTCGTGATCTGGTGCATTTACTTGACCGAGCGCATTGAGCTACGTGATTCCATTAAAACCGATGTGGTCAGCATCAAATGTTGAAGACTTACAGAGCTACTGACTTTGGGGATTTATTTACCGTTGCACAGGAATATGTCCACAGAACAACTTACAGAAATATTATTTTTATATACAAATAATTTTAATCTGAATAAATCTAAATGCTCAACAAATTTATCTAACCAGGTCTAAAGCTAATTTATTTATAGCATAAATTCCCAAATTATTAAGATACTTAAAAATCACTTTCATCCATAACTGACCAGTATTGGTCACTCTAGAATACGTTTTCAGCTTTTGGTTATCCGTCTCTCTAACTAAACGGCCGAAATTTGAATTTTAGTGTATACTATTCATATTTGTTATAACTAATCCGTTAGATTTGTCATTGCTATATCGTAACTGCACATTTTCAAATATGAAGTCGTCACACAAAAATCTTAAGCTTTTCAAGAGTTCTTCTAGACAGTGCTTGTTTTCAACTCAGACTAGGTATAAATTGGATAAGTGGTGATGGACATAATAATTCAGTATATCAAGGCTGGAGGGAGTAAGGAGAATAATGAAGGAATATAATGGTGACACATTTGTCATTATTCTTGGTTTGTCTGTTCCAGTACTTTTGATTTTATGTCAAGGGGTTGATTCGCTGTTCAGTAGAGGTTCTGTGAAGGCTGCATCGTATTTGTTGTTTAATGCATACGAAGTGAATTGTGGTGGCCTGACCGAATGTACACATGAGCTGGACATTTTAGAAGGTATGTTGATAACAATGCTAAAACTTTCTATAGATATGTTTATGTGTATCCACCTGAATGAAGTTATACTTTACTGCAATTTCGCAAGCTTTTCCTTGATTTCACCTTATGTTAGTCACTGGCCTAACCTACGCATACATTACGTAAATGAAAATTATGTAAGATGAAATTAATGGACATTTTGCGAAATTACGTGACATTTTAGATGATTGACCCTGAGAAACATGAAGATTTAAAAATTAGTGTGTTTGAAAGCACCTTGTCCAATTTCAAAAGGATTATTATACCTTATACAGATCCTCAAAGTAGATAGTTTTAACTTTATGTATTGCAGAATATATCTAGGTGACAAAAATAAAATGTTCAACAAGTTGATGATCGAAAATTGGCCACTTGTTCAAAGCTATGCTTACGACATTAGGCGTCAGTGAGTTTTTTGAGACATACCTTGTGTGGTTTTTCGATGTAGGTTTGTCTTTGACTAATACATCGGTAGGAATTCTGTTTACAACTTACGACTTTTAGCTTTCTACATTACACTTAAGCAGACATCTTGCTTGCTACTCTTTATTGCAAGAGGGTGAAAACACGTATTCTAACTAATCTCTAAACGTATCTACAGTAAGTTCTTGCTATTGGAACAAAATTTGTGTTAAACCTTGAAGATCCTTTTAAATTACTGAGGTTTAACTCTTCGTGTATATAGTTTAAACAGCATAATTTGAATCTACTGAAATATTCTGATGAAAAATCAACCACCTGATTTCCTGAATCACATGTTACCGAAATCAAATGAAAATACTGGGGAAAATTTTATCTCATCTATAAAATGTCAATTAGTTATCATCCATTCTGACCAAGGCTATAAATCAGATAAAATGGAGTACTCCTAAACAAACCAATCAAAAACAATTTATTCCTTTCAATGTAGGTTATTTTAATTGGCACTGAAAACAGTAACTTTAAGACTGAGATAGATTCACTTTTGGAGACCAAGAGTTCTCTATTATTACCAAAATATGGAGCGTTTAGGATTTACTGGCAATAAAACATGTGCATCTTTGCGCGGTCTCTAGTTATCTTGATAAGACGTTGTTTTCAAAAGAGTTATAAAGTATAGCAACGAATAACACGATATTTCCAAAATATTTTATATTTGATGAAGCAGCCTGGATTCTTTCCAGTTTTTGTTACTGTCTTAACACTTAAAAGTGGTAATGTAAACAAATATTAATGATATCGACTAGGTTTTTCATTTTTCCAGTGTTATCTAAATGTGGGCTTATAGCGTTTTTACTAACAAAAATATCAAGGTTATTTAGCGAATTCTGTGATTGTATGAATACATTATAATTTCAAATTCTTTCCTAGTTTATATACAATACGTATTATTAGTTCCTTGACATTTTACTTCATTACAGATTGTCCAGAGAATTTTTCACTTTATCTCGCGAGGTAATACAGATTTCAGAGAAATTTATCTGGTTTTTTTGTACAGGTGATTGATGTAGGTGACAGTCTTTATCAGTTAACAGAAAGAATTGACCCGGTGTTTATTGAGTGTTTTGTAAGCAAAGTAAGTTAAAATGAAGATGATGTGAAGTATTTTGATAAATTTTTGACATGCTTTTTAAATTTGGTGGAGAATAAAAAGTTTACGTATCATTCGTTATATGTATGTTATATCTGGATGAAAATAAATGAATGGTAACCACTAGTAGTTATTTATGCACTGATATTCTACGAATATTCTTATTGCATGACTATAAAGTGATTATGTTACATGTATATTCACATTCCTTCCATTATAAGCTTTTATTTGATCTATTGGTTACTGTTATATGAATCATTCTCTTAGTCACAATTTCTCACAATCACAGCGGCTTTTGGCTTGATCTTTTACAAATGTTATTTTCTATTTTATGGTGTGATGTGGCTTGATTTTGATTGCATATAAACCAAGTATGTTTGGAATATATGATTCGTGTTGCACAGGATGAGACTGGGGTTCTGGACTTAATGGGGAAAGCTAGGCTGAAAAAGGACTAATCGGGTCTAGGCTGCTCGTACTGGTGTATGCGTCATTAGTTTGGTCTTATAAGTCGGCGTATCTAAATTGACAACCGTAATTTGCAATATTCGTATATCTAAGAACATAAAAATTTAGTCAGCGTATCCCTCAAGGTTTGCATGTTTTATAGATTATCAAACATACCGTATAACCGACAGTCTTGTTACACTCTCACTGACTACAAATCTGTTAAGTATGAAGAAAATTCGAACATGACGAATCTTCACTCATCTTGTTGTACGCTATCTATATAACCCTCAGTTAA